TCGGTTTCAACATTAGTTGTCATCACTAGGATCTGTTCAAACCGTCGTGCGATGTTGTTTGCAAATTTCGCTCTCGCGTCCACCAAAGATAATGTTTCCCATTTGTTGCTTCTGCCACCAGATCTTCGTATAGTACTCCATTTGTTACAGCGCAGCGTACCAGCAACAAGGTGGTCATCGGTTCTCTTAACGCGAACATCCATTACACAGCGTCTTAAATCAGACGATACGATTATCAGATCGATCATCTACTTCTGTGCACAAGCTTTTCGGTGCTAGGTGTACTAATGCACATTTCGATGCTAGTAGAATGTTTTCATAATGGAGGGTCCGTTGTTTGCACAAAACTGCAACAGCTTCATGTCGACATTGTCGAGGTAGTTAGAGCTGTTCTTTCGGATCACGCCTTTCCACTTTTCAGCGTCTACTTCGACGTTTGCATTAAAATCGCTCATCAGTATGAGGGACCCTGTATTCGGCACTTTGGACAGAGCGCACTGCACTTCCTCAAGGATGGCCTCATATTCTCCCTCCAGATTGGCTGAACAGATCTAAATCAAGGTCATCGAGATATATATATGGTTTTGGGTGGAATGCAAGGTTTTCCTTTCTCTTTTGATCCAAGGTTCCGATTTCCGGCACAAAAGCCATTATATATATATATTTCGCTAACAATTATACATTAGACAGACAACATCACAGATTATACAGTGCAGGAAAAATGCGCAGCAGCCAGCGTACAAGACGAAGGCACAAATGTATAATAAAATCAAATGAATAGTCTATTTATGTGAACAAGTATTTGCAACTAAACCTACTCTCAACTCGTAGTGACTGGGTGGTTCGTATCACCTAGTCATCGACCGAATACTTTTGCGGATATGCTCATAGATTGTTACGGAGAATCCTATTGTGAGGTTAGAGCCTCCAGGTCTACAAAGCATATATAAAATGGATAAGCGAATCCCCATGATTCCTTAACAATCTGGTTAGAGGTGCTTCAGCTTAAGCAAATGTCCCACTGGAACAAGCGTTTCACAACACCGCTTTTCTGACATCTTGGTGTAGATTTTTTCCCAGGGCATCATTAAAGTAATGCCGATAATTAGAGCACTCCCTATGGTTTCCCTTCTTGAACAGGGAAACTACTGTCCCTGTTCACCAATCCATTTGTGTTTTCCTCGTCGCCATTGCAGC